TTCCTAAGATGTAAATGAAATATTTAAATTTATTTAAATAAATTCTGTTGCTAAATATCCAAGTTTTGAAATACTGGGGATGGCAGAAGAAAAGCTGAAGAGACATGAACCTCAAATGTTTTCATTTGCAAAAAAGAAGGAAAATAATATTTAGACTAAGGAAAAATGTGTGACTATTCATTTTCACAAATCCTATCTTATTTATCTACCCAGGTCTATTAGCACCATGCTGCTTTAACTGATCTCATCAGTGGATATCTATTTATCAAATACCCAGAGAAAGAGAATAAAAACACCAGCTACATTATGGGAACACTCTAATAGCTAATCTGACTTGCATTATGAAACAGACATTTAAGATCTAAAAAATCAGCACACATTCCTTAGACAGAAAATGAGAAAGATAATTGGATGTGAAAAAAATTGTGATTTAAATAATGATCTCCAGAGTTGTCAATGTAGTTTAATGACCTAACAAGGTCATGCTTAAAGTAATATAAAATAATACTTATTCAGAAATAACAGCTATCTTTAATCTAGAAGCCTCTCCATATGAGAGAGATTACAGATGGCACCTGAAAAGAGGGTCCCAGAAGTAAGTAAATTGGAGAGACACCATATAATATATACCCTTCTAGAAGTTCATAATCACTTTTGCATATTATAGGTTCTGAGTTGTCTGACAATAAAGATAGGTGTTTAACTTTGTTTAACCTAGAATGTCCCAAACTTATTTGAACTTGGTATCCTTTTTTTTTTTTTTTACACAAAGGGAAAGGGTGGTTGATTTACTCGTTGTGTTTTTCACATAAAATTATAAACATTTTGGAATGCCAGTAGTTTCTGGGGTTTACTTTGAGAAATATAGCTCTATACCAACCAAACATGACACAAGTGAATATTGACTATGCTTGCATTTAGTATTCTGGAGTTTTCATAATTTATTTTATAGTTAAATTTTATCCATTTTTGCAAAGACAATGTTTATGCAAATGTACTATCCAGACTTGGGAAGTTAATGTTCTTGCCCCTTCACTCCTGGTCATATCACACGCTGAGCTCTGTGCCCGGTGCAGGACATTGTCTGACTGTAGGGTAATACGGGTTGTCAACCTGGATAGTGGGGAGATCTGAAACCATCCTCGAGCACGTCTAAATGAAGGGCCGTGGGTGATTTGGGGCATGATGGTTGCTGTTGTCTTCCAGCTCTAAACCTGCTCTTCCGTATTCTACCTTGTAAAGCCAGGGCTGGGACTTCGTAACATTTTATTTCTCTTTAGAAATAAAAAGTTGGAAATTTAGCCAGCTCAAGTCCTGGCAGGTTTAGCCAATGGCAGGGATGGGGGTGGTGAGGGTGCTGGAGGAAGCCTGGAAGGTGAGTGGAGTGGAGAAGGATCTTACTCGTGCCTGTTTCCTTGCTCTCAGTGTCACTCCGGAAGTAACACGTCGTCACCTGGTGGTAGCATTTGTCTCCAGCAGCAGCTGTTCTCAGTTCCTATTTTTCCTACACACCCAGAATTGGTTTTATTGCTCGTCCTTAATCCTACAGCACCTGCCAGACAGCGCCCCCTCCTACAAGATCCCTGATCCCCAGCTCTGAGCAGTTCAGCCTGGCAATATTCCCCTCCTCAGAGAGCTATTTCCCAACTTGTGGGGTCCCTGCTCCAAGCCTGTAGATTCTGACAATCTCAGCCTCTTCCCCAACCTTATCATCAGATAGAGGAGAATTAGTTTCTTTTGTGAGGCCCGTGAGGACAGAACTAGAACTCGCGGGTTGAAGTAACAGGTTCCAATAATTAGAGACGCCAAAAAACCCTGAATGGATTGCACTGAATTTCCTATCCATTAATTTAATCAAAAGAAGGATCTGCCACAAAACTAACATACTGATAGGACTTCAAGTATCAGATGGAAGATTGGACTGGATGAGATTCAAGGTTCTTTCCGTCTGGGTGATTCTATAGTAAAATGTAACTACAACTACAATTATTGAGTAATTCCTCAATTAGTAAGGAATTAACTCCCCAATTCCTTACGTCTATTATTCTTAATGCTCATACACAACCCTATTGTTGGAGGTCACAGAAAGGATGCGACTGCAGCTGACCTAAGAGCTGGACCCTGAAAATGTCAGAGGCTTCTCACCCCCTCCCTTGTCCTTGGAATGTACGTTCTGCCTACTATTTCCCCAGTGGGAGCCATCTTCAAGGACACAGGTTGATAGAGTAAGGTGTTGTCGAGATCATATGGACTTAATTTAAGGTAACTAAACCCAGGTAAGGCCTCTATATAAACTTCTAAGATTCAAGTGGGCAGGTGCAGAGATCTACTCATCCTTTGAATGCCCAAGACAAGCCTCATATGTAAGTTTTCTTGCATATTAAACCTGCCATCTATCAACTTGGAGTGGCCTGCCTCTTTCTTCTGTCTCTCCTTGCCCCCATGAACAGGGGTCAGTTTCAGATTTCACCTGGGAAATTCCCGAGTTTTTGAACCAATACCTATGTTGTTAGATATTATCATTCCCATTTTATAAACATAGAAAGGAGAATGGAAGCTGATGTAAGATCATTAATAGGCCAGGATCACAAAGTTTTCAAGTGAAGGCAGTGAAGGCAGAATGTGGACGCTTTGTGAGCCCCACCACCTGCTTCCTAATAAGCCTCAGACATAACACTGAAACACTGTGTTAGAGCAGTCTCACGGTGCCTGAATCCAGCTAATCATTTTTTTTTTCAACATCAGCCCTGGTGGATTGCTTTGTTTGTCTGTTTTGCAGATAAAGGAGGAGGAAAGGCAATGAGAAGTGATGAATGAAGAGTGATAACAATTTGACAATAGTTCCTTATTCATCAAACCCACAAGCCCTACCCCCTACCACGTGGACATGCTTGCTACCTCCATCAGGGCTGTTCCGTCTTTAGCTACCAGATAAACTCCTGTACATCCTTTAAAGTACAGCCCAGACACTTCCAGATGCACTTTCAGGTTCTGTCCTTAAGCTAAAGCACCTGCTTTAGAGGTATTACACAAACTAGGGGTGGTAACAGGTGAATCCACCCATGGAAGCATCATTCCGGGAAGGCAAAGGTAGATGAGAAAATCAGAAGAATGGAACCAATATCAGCGGCCAATTTGACTACTCCACTGGTAAGGATTCTGGCATTACCTTGAAGCTTCATCTTTAGACAGAATTAGAGGCTCCTGCATTTCTGCACAACATGTGTCCTATTACTACTCCCAACACACTGTTTTATTATTTTATTGTTGCTTTTTTATCTGACTTTCCTTGAGGGCAGTAATTCAGTTTATTCATCTTTGTATTCCCAGGACCTAGCAAGATATATAATAGTAAGTATCTAAAACATAGGTTCTTGAGGCAACATGGGAGAGTGGAGAAAGCACAGGATTTCAACTCAGTTCCTGGGTTGTGATCATGAGCAAGATTACATAATTTTTCTAAGTTGTGTTCTTCCCAGAGAGAAGAGTTTCAGGAAGGAAGTGGTCAATGGTTTCAAGCACCAGCGGTGGGCAACATTATTTAATTTTCTTAAGCCTAGCTCTTCCAAAAGAACTCACTGCAGTTCCTAACACTATGCAAAAGTCACATGGTAAAAAGTGTCCATTGAATTTAGTAGGAAGATCACCAGTGACCACGTTGAAACAAGTACCAATGGGGATAGTAAGCATTGAAGCAGATTGCAGTGAGCCAAACACTGCACTGGATATAAGGAAGAGGACATGGGCTTTTGATTATTTACTGTAAATACAGGGGATGGGGAAGAGTTAAAATTAGTTGTTCAAAGGGCTTTGGTTTATTAGTTTAATGAGGGGATGATTTGAACACACTATTTAATTGTTTAAAGAAAACAGAGAATATAGAGAGGTTAACAAGGGGAGGGAATAATCTGGAGCAAGATCTCTGAGGAGTCTTCTAGGAGGAAAATGACATGGGAACAAAAATGAACAGATTTATTCCAGACAAAAAGAGGGGCAACAACTTTTTCAATTTAACAGGATTACAGAGAAAAGGATAATGTGGATACAAACAAGGCAACAGACTTGGAGGTGGTAAGGAGTGAGGTAGCTCCAGTCTGGGCTTCTGGAAGCAATTGGTGGTAGAGCACAGAGATCAAAGAGCATAGGCCCTGGAAACAGACTTTGTGGATTTAAGTCCCAGAATACCTTCTAATTGTGTAACCTTGGGCAAGATATTTAACATACTAATGCCTGATTTTCCCGACGATAATAACCATGCTCTTACTCTCCTGGGTTGTTGTAAGGAGTTCATGACTTCATATACACACATGCAGCCAACAGTGTGGAGCATAAGCTCGCCTGAAGTGTGAGCCATCCTCAGTGTGTGAGTAAGAGCTGTGGGCTCAGAGATTACAACAGAGACAGTTTGAAGGGAGTGCTGCAGAGTACAAAAAAGAAAGAGCTAGGCAAACATAGAAGAGGTGGGAAGCAGTGGTGAAGACCCGGTTTAAGTTGGAGATCATGTACAACATGTCATTGGGGCAGTTCCCCCAAACCCCCTTCCCCAGCCCAGGTGTTGACAGGGAGAAGGCAGAGAGATAGATGGATCCAACCGACAGCGGTGATGGAAGAACAATGAGGGGATGGAACCGAGAACCCTGAACGACAGGCTGAAGTGAAGGGCCGCGGAATCACGCGAAAAGTCTTAATAAGTGAAGGGGGCTCCACTGAAAGAGGGCAGAGACGATGGTAACGATGGAAATGTATTCTGTACTTGCTGGAGCCAGAGCGCTGTTAGAATTGTGGCAACCCGCCAGCCCTAATGCTACAGTTGCGCTCAGGACCGCAAGAACTTGACCCTCTCCGCACGGGATTGGAAGACTGCTAAGGGAAAGGGCGGGGCCCAAGGGGGAGGATAAAGAGAATTGTGATGGAACGGGGCGGGGCTCCGGGGCGGTGGGGGGTGTGCCCCTCCATCACTTGGTCCGGGTCCCGCAGTGCGTGCGGGGGGCGCCTGGGGGCTCTGCAGCATAAGCAGCATGTGCCTGTGCTGTACGGAGGACGAAGCCATCCAAGTCAGCGCCGTGAGTTCTCCGAGGCCCTAACGCCGCTTCGGCGACCCCTGCCCGGGGCCTTGCACTGGGGACACTTGCGATTACCGTCGCTCGCGATCGTGGCCAATGCGGGCGGTTTGGGTGCTGAGGGTTGGGAATCCAGGGTGAAGTAGACAGACTAGATCCTGGACTGCAAGACCCACCCAGGAGGAGGAAAAGCCCCACCACGCGCCTTCTAGAAGCCAGGCACAGTCAACCATCTGTCGACTGACCCATTAATACGCCCCAGAGGTGGGATGGGGTTTACAGAAGTGGGGGGGCAGAATAAGTTTCTCAACTTTGGGGAGGATGGGGGAGGAGACTGCTTCTGGGTCTTTGGGTTAAACAACTGGATCAAAATGAAGGGAGGGGGAGGTATTTAAGGTACAATTTAGAAACTACGGGAACAGCCAAGATCCCTGTGTCTCAGAAAATCATACCACTTGCTGGGGTTCCTCAATCTCCCCAAACACCAGCAGAAACATAATTTTTTGATTTCTTGTATACCCTTTCTTTTCATGATAAATCTCAGTACTCTACATGCTCCCTGTAATGTGGTTCAAGCCTGGTTCTTTTTTCTCATACTATTGCCATCCTCCCCCCTGACTTTTACCTTAATGTTCTCATTCTGATCCTGCCTCCTGCAATTGAGATAATGTGCATATATTACATAAATTAAAAACAGTAGCATAGGCTTCCTATTATAATAACTAGTATTTGTTTGCTCATTGTTTTTTATGGTTTGTTTTGTTTTAATTTAATTTTACATATTATATAGGAAGGGCCAAGATGGCAACATCCTTCAGACGTCACTGCAAGGCAGGTAATTTTTAAATAAATAATTCTGGGTATTTCAAAATTGTAACTTTGTCTTATTCCTTTATGTGTGGTGGTCTCTGATATGATAGAAGTTCTATTATCTAGACACTTCAGTGTTATCTTTCATGGGACTCTGGGACCTTGTGACTACTATTAGAATAATGCGACTATTATTAAATGCTTTATATTTTGTTTTTTAGTGTAATAAGAATAGAACGGATGGATCATAGAGAAAGCAATTTTTTCATTGTTATAAAGTAATACCACATAGTTTTCAAAGCAATTATACCAACTGCACTCCCACTGGAAGTGGATAAAAGTTTCTATTATTCATATACTCTGTACCCTAATACTCCATTATCTTCAAAGCATTCTAGTTTGAGCCCTTAGGTCTCTGCTACTTATAGATGCTATACAATAGGGACATAAAAATCACTGCTTGACATATGTAGCATTTAAAGGAACTAAAGAATGTGCATGAATTTTGTTTTCTTATTTCTACAAAGAAAATTCCTTTGGGGTTTTTAATGAACATTACTTTTAAAATAAAAGTAAACATATATATCCATGAGCCTTAGATCCCATAGTTGAAGTGGGAATCAAGAGTAAATAGTCTCATTCGAAAACTCTAGAGATGCTCCAGTGTGTTTTCTTCATCTATGAACCACATATTTGAAAAAAGATTTTTCCTACTTTTATGTAGCTATGTAAAGCATACCCACTGATTGTGTTTATTTTTTTATTGACACTGACCCAAAATATAATAAGCATGTTAACTTTTTATGTTATAAAAAGTATGATTTGTTTTCCTTCCTTTTAATTTTCCAAAAGTCCAGAGATAAACGTATTGAGAATATGAAAAACCTAAGGAAAGAGAAGAGGAAATTTAATAAACGGTTTGCAAGACCTGCTCCTCTTCCAGAACCAGGACTCCTGGTAAGTATAATATAGAGACTTCACTAAAATTAACAGGTCCTTAAATGCAAAAGATATCTCATTTTTAATTTATGTAGTACTCTAAATTTTGTTTTTTCTCTTTCCTTTGAAAAATGTGTAATTGTGGTCTGGGAAATTACCTTAAAACTCCTCCAATCAAATTCTCATCTATTATTTAAATCTTTTTTTCTCTCTCTCTTTCTCCCTCTCGCTCTTTTTGTCTGGGTAAAGTGTACTTTATTGATGATACATGACAAGGTAGGGCTCTCTAAGCTCCTCTTCTTCAGGGAGTCTGAGACAGATGTCAGACCAAGAGATTCTCAGTGTGTGGGTGAATGAGTTGGGACAAGGACTCCCTAGCAGCTGAGGGCTCCTCTCTTCCTCTTGTGCTCTCCCTGGGTTTGGGGACTCTTACTCTTTGGAGGGCATGTGGACCATAAGGTCCACCACCCACATGCTGTAGCCAATTCATTGTCATACCAGGAAATAAGCTTGACAAAGTGGTCATTGAGAGCAATGCCAGCCCCAGCATCAAAGATGGAAGAGTGAGTGTCACTGTTAAAGTTGCAGGAGACAACCTGGTCAGTGTAGCCCAGAGTGCCATTGAGGGGGCCCTCTGATGCCTGCTTCACTACCTTCTCCAGGGAGCTTTCTCCAGACAGCAGATCATATCCATAACTAACACCTTGGGGGTGGAGATATGGAACACCATGCCAGTGAGCTTCCCATTCGGCTCAGGAACGGCCTTGCCCATAGCCTTGGAGATACCAATAGAAGCAGGAATGATGTTCTGGGCAGCCCCTCAGCCATCATGCTACAGCTTCCCAAAAAGCTCATCCACGGTCTTCTGGATGGCAGTGATGGCATGGACTATGGTCATAATGCCAAAGTTGTCATGGATGGCCTTAGCCAAAGTGGCCAAGCAGCCAGTGATGCACAAGGCATTGCTGATAATCTTCAGGGAGTTGTCATACTTCTCATGTTTCACACCCATCACAAACATGGGAGCATTAGCAAAAGGGATAGGGATAATGACCTTCTTCGCTCAAACCTTCAAGTGAGCACCAGACTTCTCCATAGTAATGAAGACACCAGTGCACTCCACAACAGATTCAGCAAGAACATCACCCCATTTGATGCCAGTGGGCTTTTGCTCCTGCAAGATGGAGATGGGCTTTCCATTGATGACACATTTCCAGTTCTCAGCCTTGACTGTACCATTGAATTTGTCAGGGTGGAATCATACTGGAACATGCAGACCATGTAGTTGAGATCAATGAAAGGGTCATGGATGGTGACAATATCCAGTTTTTCAGAGTTAAAAGCAGCCCTGATGACCAGCAACCCATTACAGCCAAATCCATTTACTTTAACCTTTGCCATTGTGTCTCAGGGACCCAGGTGGCACTGCACAAAAAGATGCGGCTGGGTGTTGAATGGGGAGGAGGAGAGTGCCTATTTAAATCTCCTTTGCAATTGTCTCCTGGAGATGTGGTTTAATGAAAAGAGTAAGATATTAAGAAACCACATTATTCTGGTTTCCAGTTTTTGCTTTACCATATATGATCTTGACTGCCCAAAGTCATTACTTAAATCTTTTGGATTATATTATCTGGAAAATAAATTATAAAATCTCCTGGCAAATAGTTATTCAACCTAGGCTTGATCACTTCCAACATCATAGAAGTCTGCACCAATCACAGCTTATTCCCTCTTTGCACATCTTTTTTTAAATTTAAGTTTTAGTTAACATACAGTGCAATATTGCTTTCAGGAATAGAATTCAGTGATTCATCATTTACATACAACACCCAGTGCTCATCACAAGTGCCCTCTTTAATACTCATCACCCATCTAGCCCCTCCCATACATTTATCTGTTTTGTTTCTTAAATTCCACATGGGTGAAATCATATGGTATATGTCTTTCTCTGACTGACTTATTTCACTTAGCATAATACACTCTAGCTCCATCCACGCACGTCGTTGCAAATGGCAAGATTTTATTCTTTTTGATGGCTTTGTCTCAAAAAGGCTGCTTTTTGATAGCAGTCTCAAAAAGGCTGCTACAATAGTAGACATTGTGTCTACATTCCAGTAGAAAACAGTATAGAACAAAGGGCACAAAGCATATGCCAGCAGCTGAGTCAACTCCCCTTTGATCAGGAAAAGAGCCTCCTTCATATACTTATATATGAAATATATATATAAAATATATTTATAAGTAAAATCTTGGTTGTGGTAATGGTCTCAGGGATGTACATGTGCCAAAATATTTTAAAATGTGCACTTCATTTTTATTGTTTTGAAGATTTTATTTATTTATTTATTTGAGGGAGGGGGGGGAGGGAGAAGCAGGCTCCCCTCTGAGCAGGGAGCATGACGCAGGCCTTGATCCCAGGACCCTGAAATCATGACTTGAGGCAAAGGTAGACACGTAACTGACCCAGGCGCCCCTAAAAATGTGTACTTTAAATATGCACAATTTATTGTATGTCAAGTGTACTTCAATAAAGCTGATAATATATATATTTATATGTTATGTTGTACTTACTCTTTGAGTTGTATAATTCTGTGAGTTTTGACAAAGCATAATGTCTTTATCCACCATGACAGTACCATACAGAATAGTTTCACTGCCCTAAACATCCTGTGTTCCACCTATTCATCCCTTCCCTCACTTGCCTCAAGCCACTAGCAATCACTGAACTTCTTTTTTTAAAGATTTATTTATTTGAGTGAGAGAGAGAGCACAAGCAGGGGGAGGGGCAGAGGGAGAAGTGGACTTGCAGACTCTCCCCACTGAGGAGGCAGCCTGCCCTGGGGCTTGATCCCAGGACCTGGAGATCAGGACCTGAGCTGAAAGCAGACCCTTAGCCGTTGGAGCCACCCAGGCAAACCTCCCCCCCCCCTTTTTTTTCAATTACTGAACTTCTTACTGTCTCTATAGTTGTGCCTTTTCCAGAATGTCATATAGTTGGAATCTTACAGTACGTAGCCTTTCAGATTGGCTTCTTTCACTCAGCAATATGCATTTAAGGTTCCCCCATATCTTTTCACAGCTTGATAACCCATTTCTTTTTATCACTAAGTAATATTCCATTATGTTCATGTGTCACAGTTTATTCATGCACCTATTGAAAGACACCATGGTTGCTTCCAATTTTTGGTAATCATGAATAAAGCTGCTATGAACATTCGTGTGCAGGTTTTTGCATGAACATAAATTTTCAACACATTTGGGTAAATATTTAGGAGTACAATTACTGGATAATATGGTAAAACTATGTTGAGTTTTATAAGAAACTGGAAAATTGTCTTCCAAAGTAGCTGTATAATTTTGCATCCCCACCAGCAATGAATGAGAGTTCAGGCTGTTCCACCACCTTGCTAAACTTTGATGTTATCAGGGTTTTGGACTTTAGCCATTCTGACAGGTGTGTAGCGATACCTCATTGTTTTAATTTGCAATTCCCTCTTGACATATACTATTAATAATATTTTCATATGTTTATCTGCTATCTGTATAACTTCTTTGGCACAGTGTCTGTTTCAATATTTTGCCCACTTTTTAATTGAGGTCACTTTCCTGTTGAGTTTTAATAGCCATTTGTATATTTTGGATACCCATTCTTTATAAGATATGCTTTTTTGCAAATATTTTCCCCTGGTCGCTGCCTGTTTTCATTCTTCTAATAGTGTCTTTCCCAAAGTAGAAGTTTTTAATTTTAATGAAGTCTAATTTATTATTTCTTTCATGGATCATGCCTTTGGCTGTTGTATCTAAACACTCCCAAGGTCACATAGATTTTTCTCTGGTGTTATCTAAGAGTTGCACAATTTTGCATTTTATATTTAGGTTTATGATACATTTTGAGTTAATTTTTGAAAAGTGCAAGGTGTCTAGATTTTTTTCTTTTTTTGCATGTGGATGTTGTCCCTGTTGTTTTGCACCATTTGTTGAAAAGACCGTCCTCCTTTCTCTATTGTATTGCCTTTGCTCTTTTGTCAAAGATTTGTTGACTAACTGTTAAGGTCTATTTCTGGGCTGTCTATTCTATTCCATTGAATAAAATATTTATCTGTTCTTTCACCATTACTACACTGTATTGATTACTGTAACTTTATTGTAAGTCTTGAAGTCAGGTAGTGTCAGTCTTCCATCTTGGTTCTTTCCTTTCAATGTTGTGTTAGACACACTGGATCTTTTTGCTTTTCTATATAAAATTTAGACTCAATTTGTCAAAATCCACAAAGTAACTCGCTGGAATGATTGAAATTGTGTTGAATCTACAGATCAATTTGGAAGGAACTGACCTCTTAACAATATTAAGTCTTCTTATTAGTGAACATTGGGCTTCTCTCATTTATTTAGATCATCATTGACTTTTTTCATCAGAGTTTTACAGTTTTCCTCATTCAGACTCTGTACATATTTTGTTAGACTTATACCTAAGTATTTCCTTTTTTTGGTATTAATGTAAATGGTATTCTGTTTTTAACTTCAAATTCCAGTTGTTCATTACTAGTACATAGGAAGTCAAATGACTCTTCTATATTAAACTTATATCCTGCAAACTTGCCTAATAGTTCCAGGAATTTTTTGTTCTTCTTATTGTTGATTCATTGGGATTTTCTATATAAACAAATAGAGTCATCTGTGAATGACAGTTTTATTTATTCCTTTCCAATCTGTATACTTTTTATTTCCTCCTCTTTTATATTGCATTAGCTAGGACTTCCAGTGTGATGTTGAATAGAAATGGTGAAAGAGGACATCCTTGACTTGTTCCTGATCTTAGCTGGAAAGCATCTACTCACTCACCATTAAATATTATGTAGATGCCCTGTAGATGTGTTTTTATCAAGTTGAGACAGTTCCCCTGTATTCTGTGCTAAGAGCTTTTTTTTTTTTTGTATCATAAATCGCTGTTGGATTTTGTTAAATGCTTTTTCTACCTCTATTGGTATGATCATATGATTTTTCTTCTTTAGCCTGTTGTGATGGATTACATTAATTGATTTTCAGATGTTGAGCGAGCCTTGCATATCTGGATTAAATCCCACTTGATCGGGTGTATGCTTCTTTATATGTATTGTTGGATTCAATTTGTTAATATTTTGTTGAGGATCTTTGTATCTATGCTTGAGAGATAGTAGTCTGTCATTTTCTTTCTTGTAATGTCTTTGGTTTGGGTATTAAAGTAATGCTGGCCTTACAGAATAAGTTAGGAAGTTTTCCCTCCGCTTCTACTTTCTGCAAGAGATTGTAGAGAACTGGTATAATTTCCTTTTTAAATGTTTGGTAGAATTCACCAGTGAACTGATCTGGGCCTAGTGCTTTCTATTTTGGAATTTAATTATTGATAAAATTTCTTACACTTTTTAATTGTCCCACAGTTATTAATTATTCTATTCCATTTTTTTCCTCATCCTTTTTTCTTTTTGTTTTTAGTTTAGATGGTTGTCAAGCTTTGATTCTTTTTTCTCTACTGTGTCAATCTACTTATGAGCCCATCAATGGCATGCTTAATTTATGCTATAATGTTTTAGATTTTTAGCATTTGTTTTTGATTCTTAGAGTTTCCTTTTCTCCTTACATTATCAATCTATTCTTGCATTTTGCCCACTTTTCCATTAGAGCCCTTAGCATATTGATGATAATTACTTTGAATTCCCAGTCTGATCATTCCCAAATCTCTACCATAACTGAGTCTGGATCTGATGCTTGCTTTGTCTCTTCAGACTGTTCTTTTGTTTTTGTTTTTACTTTTTAGCATGTCTTATACTTTTGTTGACCTTAAGAGTCAGACATGATATATTGAGTAAGTTAGAAACTGAGATAGATAAGCCTTTAGTGTGAGGTTTTCTGTTTATCTGGCTAGGATTTAGGCTGTGTTTTCTGTTTGCTATAGCTGTGGTGTAAGAGGTGAAAATTTACTCTTTATTTTTGTGTCTCCTCTAGTATTTGAGTTCCCCTCGAGCCTCTTTCTTAAATAAGATCTGAGGCTTGTAGTTCTTTAAGCTAACTTCCCTGATGTTATGGAGGAGCCTTATTAATGTGGTGGTTAAGTTGTTGGGGGGACAGAAGCATATTATAGGCCTATGAATAGATCTCAGTCTTTTAGTGAGCCTGTGTCCCTAGGACATGATTTTCCCAAAAACTACTTAGCTACCCTTACCCTTAAGTGAAACAGGAAAGCTACAGGGGATTGGAGTTGGGTATTTCCCTCTGCTATGTAGAAGAGTCTGGATTTTGCTATTTCCCTTCCCTAGGTCAGTAAGGGTTTAATAAAACCCAGATTGGTTAGGTTGTGATAAAATAGTTTCCTTTGAGGGCATGCCCTATTAAAGAGGAGAGCGAGCTCAGGAGAATTTCAAAATAGTTGCTTTTCCCCTCCCACTGCTGGAAGCAAAAGGAGATTTTCCCCCTGATTATCACAAGAAGACCTGGTGGGGCTCCTAGAGGTAAAACTCAAGGAAATATGAGGGTCTCGCTAAGACTGCTCCCCCACCCTAAGTTTGTAACTTTGAAGCTAATCCACAGTGAGGTTCAGCAATTCATCCACTAAGGTTTGAGTGTTCCTGTTGGAACAGTATTGGCTCTAGAAGCATTGTTTGTGTCTCATTTGTCCCATGACCTCAATTCTCTGATGGATCTAAGAAGAGTTGTTGATTTTTAGTTTGTTCAACTTTTTTCTTGTGAGGATGGGACTGATGATTTCCAAGTTCTTTTACATGTCAGACTGGAAACCCCCACTTATATTTCTTTGCTCAAAACTGAGTCACTAGCCACCCCAAGCTGCAAGTATGTTTAGAGTGGTGAAAAGCTGAACTGGCTTCTCTGCTGCTCTGAAGAGAATTGAGGTTCCACTAGTGTGGATGAAAGTACTCTCTTTTCTCAGGCTGTGATGGTCCTCCTTCTATAATTCACCATCTTCCTTTAGTTTTGGAGTAAATACAGATTATGAGTAACAGTTCAGCCCTTAAGCTTTTTTTTTTCTATTTGTCTGCATAGTCAAGGGAGCTTATGCATTGCCACCCAGAAACTCAGGATCCTCAAGCTTACAGAGTTACTGCACTGTCTTAAATATCTACAGAGTTCTTCCCTTGCAGATATGCTAGTGTTTGAAATACCACCCACATAATCATGGCCTCTCAGATATGCATTAAAATATGTTTGCACAACATATTTTACATCTGTACAGTGATCCCTTAGTAAAGTGTAATTATATGGGATATGGGGGAGAAGAAAGCAGTGATTCCTGAGACCACCCTTCTATAAGGTATGGCAATTACCACCACTTCTGAGTCCTTTAACTTTTGATTCATTTCCACACATCAGTTTGGCTAATTTTTCTATCTCACTGCAAGTTCAGATATCTTATGCCATCAATCTTCTCCCTCATGACTTGCCCCTCAACACCAAACCATTTAGGACTTTTCCATTAAAAACACTCCCCCCCTTTTTTTTCTTGATCTACCAGATTTTTTTTATAGAAATGCCTACAGACTTGTTCTATATCAATTATCCAACCAACACACTTGAGCTTTTAGAGACAAGTAAAATGTCTCCAAATAAATAAGAATATAAAAAACAAAATGCATGATATATGAGAAGCCCGAGTTCAATCTGGTACTTAGTACTTACTCTCCTTACTACAAGGATTCTTAGAATTGTCTTCAAAACATCTAGATATTTCTCCTCTGGCAGTATTAGGCAGTCACGAAAGTTATAATATCCTGTAAAAGAGAAAATACACCCTCCACCCAAAAAGAACATCAGGGGGCTCAAAGCCCCAAAGTACACACTACGCTAAAGGGCTTCTCAGGACTCACCAAAGAGTAATAATAGCAAGGAGGTACTGTGAAAACCCTATTCTAGTGTTTTTTTCTATATATTGACCAAGATATATAGTATATCATATTTAAGCTTGAACCCTCAGTGTTTCTCAAATGTGGTCAGGACCAATTTTGTTTGATTTGGTTTGGTTTTGTTTGGTTTAATTTCCAAATCATTGTGGACTATCATTTTGTATCATATGATCAAAATGTCATAGTATCAAATTATTATAAATGAACATAAGTATTTATTCTCAATTTTTCTAATCTTGTTACAAAGTTATAATGACTATTAGGCTAGCACTTAAACCAGACCACACAGAATAACACATCTTTAAACTGTACTTATCCTTTCACTTTTTTCCTCTTATATCTTTTGCAAATTGTTGGGTTATAAGCAGCATCCCCACTAATACCCTCTTCTCTTTTTCTTTCTTCTTAAATTGATTTTTGGCTATAACAACAGTATTTGTACAACTTAAATGGTTTGGGATGAAAATAAAAACATGAGTCCATACATAGACGTATTTTTAATATATGGGTTGTGCCCAGTAGAACAGAGGATGCATGATTAGGCTAGAGCACCTCGTTATAAAAAGTTTGAAAAAGTATTTTTATTTTGATTTTTGTCTGTTTAAAGTCTCTATAATAAAACTGTCTCCTAATTATTTTATTAATAATCATAATCATGTATATTTAAATAATCATGGAATATTATTTTATGGTTAAATTCCTGCCAATACTAATATACATACCCTTTCTATATTTACTTATTTGTCCCTGTTGCTCACTTCAATTCAAGATGCTTTCTCGGCCAACCACAGACCATAAGACGGGAAAAGAAAGCCCCTATGTTTAACATCCCTATCACATCCATAATGGTTAGAAATGACTTTAACCCTTTCTCAAACCTGTTATTTTTGGTTTCTACAAATTCTTCCTGCTTATATTTTTTGTTATCTGACTCAGAGAAGAAAAAAAAATACTTTATATCATATTCATTCCCAGATATGAATTCTTTCATAATAGTGCTTTTCATATCTGGCTACTATCTGAATGTGATGTTGCAATAATTTAGAATAACATTTCTAGCTCTTTATGAAATTCTTTTTGTGTAAGAAAGTCTACTCCCTTTGAGATCTTTCCCAGATAATTTATAACTTTGTATTAATTTTTCCTTATATACATTTTAATTGAATTTATTTTTCTTCATGTACTTTTATTTCTTCTAGTGGACATAAAGCTGGAGTCTGTATGGAAGAAATCATGCCAGACAAAAATATGCGGATTTATAACATCAAGTGGCATTTCGTAATTTGACTTCATTTGAAAAATAAAAGCCATACTCTGCCATTTCAACAAAATAAACGCAGTGCAACCATCTAACATCCAAGCCACAGGGTCTAGAATTTTATTAAATACCGTAACTCATTACCACTCTCTTTTCTGTGGTAAATTTGAGATTTGTTTGTTGAGATTGTTCAACAAACAATAATATGTACAGACCTTTAAAAATGATATACTCCTCTTTAAGCCTTTGCAATTAAATTTATGACTTATCTAAAAATTTAGAATTATGCTTTAATAATAGGGGAAATGCCCCTAACTTGGGAGCAGCCAAATACATAAGTTAGTTAATAATAAACTTAAAGAAATTCATTGATAATAATATAATAATAGTAGGTGATTTTAACACCCCATTCACAGCAAAGGATAGATCATCTAAGCAGAAGATCAATGAGGAAACCAGGGCTTTGAATGACACACTGGACCAGATGGAGTTCACAGATATATTCAGAGCATTCCATCCTAAAGCAGCACAATACACATTCTTTTCCAGTATACATGGTACAGTCTCAAGAATAGATCACATACTGGGTCACAAGTCAGGCCTAAACCTGTACAAAAAGATTGAGGTCATACCATGCATATTTTCAGACCATAATGCTATGAAACATGAAGTTAATCACAAGAAAAAATTTGGAAAGACCGCAAATACATGGAGGTTAAATACCATCCTACTAAAGAATGGGTTAACCAGGATATTAAAGAAGAATTAAAAAAAAATACATGGAAGCAAATGAAAATGAAAATATGACAGTCTAAAACCTCTGAGATGAAGAAAAGGTGGTCCTAACAAAGCAGTACACAGCCATACAGGCCTTCTTCAAGAAGCAAGAAAAGTCTCAAATACAGAAACTTTACACCTGAACGAACAGCAAATAAAGCCTAAATCCTGCAGAAGGGAAAAGAACAGCAAATAAAGCCTAAATCCTGCAGGAGAAGGGAAATAATAAAGATTAGAGCAGAAATAAATGATACAGAAATTAAAAAAAAAACAAAAACAGAACAGATCAACGGAAGTAGGAGCTGTTTCTTCGAAAGAATTAACAAAATTGAAAAACCCCTAACCAGACTTACCAAAAAAAGAAAGGACCCAAATAAATAAAATCATGAATGAAAGAAGAGAGATCACAATCAACAACACAGAAACACAATTATAAGACCAATTATATGCCAACGAATTAGGCAATCTGGAAGAAATGGATGAATTCCTAGAAACATAAACTACCAAAACTGAAACAGGAATAGAAAACCTGAAGAGACCCATAACCAGCAAAGAAATTGAATCAAAAATTGAATTTCCCAACAAACAAGAGTCCAGGGCCTCATGGCTTCCCAGGGGGGAATCCTATCAAACTTTTTTTTTTTTTAAGATTTTATTTATTTATTTGACAGACAGAGGCACAGCGAGAGAGGGAACACAAGCAGGGGGAGCAGGAGAGGGAGAAGCAGGCTTCCCGCCAAGCAGAGAGCCTGATGTGGGGCTCGATCCCAGGACCTGGGATCATGACCTGAGCCGAAGGCGATGCTTAACAACTGAGCCACCCAGGCGCCCCTCTATCAAATATTTAAAGAAGAAATAATACCTATTCTTCTGAAACTGTTTCAAAAAATAGAATTGGAAGGAAAACTTCCATACTCATTCTATGAAGCCAGCATTACCTTGATCCCAAAACCAAACAAAGACCCCACTATAAAAGGAGAATTACAGATCAATATCCCTGGTGAACATGGATGCAAAAATTCTCAACAAGATATAGCTATTCTAATCCAACAGTACATTAAAAGAATTGTTCACCATGACCACGTGGGATTTATTCCTGGGCTGCAGGAGTGGTTCAGTATCCATAAATCAATCAATGTGATATACCACATTAATTCAAGAAAGGATGATAATCATATGATCCTTTCAACAGATACAGAAAAAGCATTTGACAAAATACAGCATATTTTCTTGATAAAAACCCTTAAGAAAGTAGGGATAAAAGGAATATACCTCCACATCATAAAGGCAATATATGAAAGACCCACAGCTTATATCATCATCAATGGGGAAAAACTGAGAGCTTTTCCCATAAGGTCAGGAACACGACAGGGATGTCCACTCTCACCACTGTCATTCAACATAGTACTGGAAGTCCTAACCTCAGGAGTCAGACAACAAAAAGAAATAGAAGGCATCCAAATCAGCAAGGAAGAAGTCAAACTTTCACTCTTTGCAGACAACATGATACTCTGTAGAAAACCTAAAAGACTCTGCCAAAAAATTGTTAGAACTTATACAGGAATTCAGCAAAGTAACAGGATATAAAATCAATGCACAAAAGTCTGTTGCATTTTTACACACCAATAATGAAGCAGCAGAAAAGGAAATCAAGGAATTGATCCCATTTACAATTGCACCAAAAACCATAAGATACCTAAGAATAAACCTAACCAAAGAGGTAAAAGATCTGTACTCTGAAAGCTATAGAACACTTATGAAAGAAATTGAAGAAGACGCAAAGAAATGGAAAAACATTCCTTGATCATGGATTGGAAGAACAAATACTGTTAAAATGTCTACACCTCCCAAAGCAATCTACACATTCAATGCAATCCCTATGAAAATACCACCAGCATTTTTCACAGAGCTGGAACAAAAAATTCTAAAATTTGTATGAAACCAGAAAAGACCCCAAATAGCCAAAGTAAAGTTGAAAAAGAAAACTAAAGCTGGAGGCATCACAATTCTGAACTTTAAGCTGTATTACAAAGCCGTAATTATCCAGACAATATGGTACTGGCACAAAAACACACATGATCAATGGAACAGAATAGAAAGCCCAGAAATGGACCCTCAACTCTATGGTCAACTCATCTTCGACAAAGCAGGAAAGAATATCCAATGGAGAAAAGACAGTCTCTTCAATAAATGGTGTTGGTAAAATTGGACAGCCACATGCAGAAGAATGAAACTGGACCACTTTCTTACATCATACACAAAAATAAACTCCAAATGGATGAAAGACCTAAATGTAAGACAGGAATCCATCAAAATCCTAGAGGAGAACACAGACAGCAACCTCTTCGACCTTAGCCACAGCAACTTCTTACTAGACATGTCTCTAGGAGGCAAGGGAAACAAAAGCAAAAATAAACTATTGGGACTTCCTCAAGATAAAAAGGTTCTGCAAAGCAAAGGAAAAAATCAATAAAACGAAAAGGCAACCTATGGAATAGGAGAAGATATGTGCAAATGACATATTGGATAAAGGGCTAGGATCCAAAATCTATAAAGAACTTATCAAACTCAATACTCCAAAAAAATAAAAAATCCAGTTAAGAAATGGGCAGAAGACATGAACAGACATTTCTCCAAAGAAGAGATACAAATGGCTAGCAGACACATGAAAAGATGCACAACATCACTTGGCATCAGGGGAATACAAATCAAAACCACAATGAGATACCACCTCACACTAGTCAAAATGGCTAAAGTTAACAACTCAGGAAACAACAGATGTTGGCAAGGATGTGGAGAAAGGGGAACCCTCTTACACTGTTGGTGGGAAGGCAAACTGGTACAGCCACTCTGGAAAACAGTATGGAGACTCCTCAAAAAGTTAAAAATAGAACTACCCTATGACCCAGCAACTGCACTAGTAGGCATTTATCCAAAGGATACAAACATAGTGATTCGAAGGGGCACATGCAGCCCAATATTTATAGCAGCATTATCAACAATAGCCAAAATATGGAACGAGCCCAGATGTCCATCGACTGATGAATGGATAAAGATGTGGGGTGTGTGTGTGTGTGTGTGTGTATGTGTGTATATATATACATATGTATATATTATATACACATAATGTATGTAATGGCAAGATTTCATTCTTTTTGATGGCTGAGTAATATTCCACTATATATATATGGTCATATTCCATTATATATATAAATCTCACAGATTTTATGTATATATATATATCACATATGTATATATTATATTACATGCAATGTATATAATGTATATAATATATATATACATTGTATACATATGTATTATAATTGTGTTTATATACATATGTATATGTATATTATATGTACATATATGCTATACATGTATATATATACATATATACATATAATGTATATAATATATACATATAATGTGTGATGTATATATATATATAAAATCTGTGAGATTTATATATATAATGGAATATGACCATATATATATAGTGGAATATTACTCAGCCATCAAAAAGAATGAAATCTTGCCATTTGCAATGACATGAATGGAGCTAGAGTGTATTATGCTAAGCAAAATAAGATAATCAGAGAAAAATACCATATAATTTCACTCATACATGGAATTTAAGAAACAAAATCGATGACCATCATAGAGAAGGGAAGGAAAAATAAGATAAAAACAGAGAGGGAGGGAAACCGTAAGAGACTCTTAACTATAGGAAACAAACTGAGGCTTGCTGGAGGGGAGGAAGGTGGGGGGATGGGTTAAATGGGTGATGGCATTATGGAGGGCACTTGTAATTAGCACTGGGTGTTATATGCAAGTGATGAATCACTTAATTCTACCCATGAAACTAATAATACACTATAAGTTAACTAACTTAAATTTAAATAAAATCTGAAAAAAAAAACAAAAAAATATGGGAAAACAGATTTCCTTTGCTATATATTTATAATGACATATGTTTAAATAAAATGTTTAAAATCTTTACAGAGTCCTAGGAAAGAGTTATAACTAAAGGCTATGTTATATCTTGATATTGCAAATAAGCTATCATGTAATTAAAATTTTCATTTAAGGTAAAATTTGAATATTGAATTACATTTTACTTTTACATATAAAATGATGATCACATCTGTCTTTGTAAAATGCTGTCTTAACTACATAAGTAATTTCTAACATGTAAATGCAATTATCATGATTATTTTAT